AACAGAATCACTATCCGTGAAATACACAGTAAATGAAGACTGCAAAGTAGATATTTGATCCAGACTGAAAGAATCATGAGAATTACAATAGCTATTAATTGTGCAGAAGAAGAAAGTCTCAAAACAAGATGAATCATAGTGCACAGGACAGAAAATTGATGATGGAAAAGTTTATTAGTAATTTTTCAGTTTTGAAAAACATCATCAATAACTCAAGTATTGGAATAAACTTGTTAAAGCATTAAAATAAAACACCTAAGAGAAGTGAGACCAAAAGATCAGTCATGTTCAAAATCACATCAGTTGTTGTGCAAATTGAGTAACAACATGATCATGAAACCTACCAGATATACCAGCAGACAATTCAGCCTTAATTGTCAAAATACACTGATTAACAAGGGCTGACAATGCAGCCATGAGATCACTCTGCATGCAAGAGGTATACTGCATGAATAAGGCCTCTAAATACGTCATAAAAGTTCCAGGATTATTAGAAATACCTGTATCAGAATTAATGTTTACTTTCGATTTCTACGTATCAAAAAATCTGGATTATGGAAGGAAAGTAGAGCTTGTATACATCCTCCTGAGGCAAGAACAATAAGTCACAAGGAACTTGGAAGAGTGAAGAACTATGAGTAAATTGACACATTATGAATTGTGCCAAGAACATTCAGAATTTTATTCAAGTGTATGTTGACAGCATCAGAGTAACTCTACAAGTAGAGGGGCTTTTTGTATTTCATATGAAAGCCTACCTGTTTTGAAAATTATATATATATATATACACACACACAATATGAGTATTTCTTTACATCTGTTAAAAGCACCAGCTTATTTAAAGTTAAGATTTTTCAACACTTAAAATGTATTTGTGATATATATACTTACCTCTTCTCACATAATAGCTTTCCTCAATTTTTGCTGCCCTCTATATGCACAATTTTCACTCAACACTAACACGTCAGATCTTCTATGGATAGAGGCAAAAAGGAAGAAACAGGACTTAGGCAAAAGATAGTACAAGAAATAAAAAATGAAAGGTGCAAAGAGAGGAAAGGTAAGGGCATGGAGAACAATATTCCAGCTAAAAACAAGATGGACTGCTGGATGAGGAGAATGAAGTTGGCAAAAAGAATTAAAGAGCAGAAAAAACAGTACAGGAAAAACTATGATAACGGGAAAATCCGAAAGTATTAGGCAGAGCTGCCCTGTAGCCAACAATGGTCAAAGGCAGTAAGTCTTGGGTGAACAGCCATGTAAAAATTCAGAAAGATGGGGAATAGAAGGATGGGAAGGGGAAAAAGCACGAGTCAGAGATAAACTACAGAACATGCACTATTTTTGTGGATAGATAAAAGGGAGGAAGAATAAACAGAATGAGAAAGAAGGAAAGCTATACACAAAGAGAGTCTGAAACATCTCACAAGGGACCAGACAAAACCCAAACATGAAGCCAGAGAGACAATACTGCCAGATGGGAGAGAGAGGAGTGAGATTGAAGGAGTATGACAGAGGTAGAGGAAGATAAGGAGAGGACTAGAGAAGATTCAAAAAAGGAAGCAATGGCTGAGCCAGCAAGTGCTAAACAAGCAGAAGGATTTGTCATGGAGTGACCAGAATGAGGGAAAGCACACAAGGGGGACACATGACAAATAGGAGAATAGGCATAAAGAAAAAGCTTTGTCCAGCCCTGAGTTAATGCATCCACAGCAAGAGCTAAGGGATGAGAAACTGGGAACCAGAAAAGTAGAAGTATGGTGTTAAGATGAGTGACAAAAGCATCAAGCACAGGAGTGCCCAGATGAAAGCACAGCCACTGGAACACAAAAGGATCGAGGGAACCTTTCCATAGGTAGTATTTTGTCAGGCCAAAACAGAATCTGAGACAAGAATTGGAGCACTCAGAATATGACAAGCCATGAGACATATATGTAAAGAATGGGTCCAGAAAAAGAGGTTGAGAGCATGGATACAGAGAGAGCAAGACCAGGTGTCCCCTGGTGACTGATATAAAAGACAACAGCAGAACTGCTTGTATGGATCATCACTAGCCATCCACAAGCCATCTTAAAAAAATGCTTCAAAGTCCAACATACTGCCAAAAGCTCAATGAGATAAATAGAAAGAGACGAATTTTCATGAGGCCACCAACTCAAAATTACTTGAGAATTGAGACATGCCCCTATCTTGTCAAGAAGGTACTTGGAAACATATAGAGACCCGGAAGAGAAAAAGGAAGAGGAATATCTTTTATGGTATTGGGTGTATCAAACCACCAGGTGAAGGTTTTGAGTAAGGAAGGAAAATGGAAGTCAAATGAGGAAACAGTGATCATGCAGAGTCTATTGTAGAGCACAACCCTAGGGGAGACAGGATTCCATCAAATCCCAAGTACTCAAAAGAGAGAGAACCTCCTTCACAGTGAGAGAAGAAGAGGATAGAGCATAGGAAACTAATCACTCCATGTCCCTCAAAATAAGAGGATAAGGCTGTGCCCTGAAGATATACAAACTGAAAAACATCCAAATCAATAAGAAACTAAATGGTGTGAGAAGAAACTTTTCCAAGTTGACCAACCAATGCAGACTCACTGCCTCCCGAAGGAGAATAGGATAGGTGTATGAGGCTTGTTGGGACAGAGCCAAATGAGAAAAGAAGCATTTGAGAAGTCCACCACAGTTGTCCCAAGACCTGAGGTAAAAGACAACTGTAGGGTGAGAAAAGTCCCCATGGCAAATTGAAGAAAGTCAAGAAACTTACTGATGCATAAAATGACTAAAACAGAATGCCTAGTTACGGATTCCTCAAAAACCATAAAAAGATGGGAATAAATCCTAGAGAAGGGTAAGAAACTCATCAAAGTCTTTAGCCATTAAGTCTAACATTGCCACTGATGTTGACAAGAAACAAGATCCTTGGTAGGAGGGAAAGTAACAGGAAAAGAAGACAATGGAGGATGAGAGGACAAAAACGAAGGGTAAGGCTCACTGCCAGAACTCCCAGTGCTCCAATATTGGTCGAAAATGGAGGGCAAAGGTCCATAAACCTATGCAAACAGGACCCACCAACCCTGACCTATAGTATAGTCACCACAAAGTCTGACGGCACTGAAGTTTACGAGTGGTGGGGGACAGATGAGAACAGAGGAATAAGAAGTGGTGAAAGAGAGAGAGAAGAGGAAGGAGGAGGAAAGGAGATATAGAGAGATAAATAAGGATCACAGGAGAGTCAATAAAACAGCAAGGATAAGGAAGAACATTGGCATGCAACCACAACATATGACCACAGAGAAACAAGCACTCCAGGAAAGTAGTCAGTCAAAGACATATGAGAGAAAAGGGAAGCAAAAGGACTACATTAGCAACAGATCAACCACATATGAAGAGATAAGTCCAAGGAAGATAAACATGCCATTGAAGAAAAGTGAGCTAGCATCTGCCAAGACACCTTGAGGGAAATGGTTGATTACCACGGAAAGAAGGTGAATGGAGGAAAAATAATGGAAAGCATACGACAAAGGTGGAAAACTTAAGCTTAAGAAAAGGCAATACAGAATGAAATTAGGCCTAGCCATAAGAGGTAGCAAATGAAGGAAGACAAAGAATGCTAGCACCAAAGTAATGGTAAAAGGAATTGAAGATGGACTAGCATATCTGGATGGAAAGTAAATAATATAAAAAGTTGAAGCAGGGAATGATTTACAAAAAGCAGGAGTGCAACATATCTGAAAAACTTAGTCCCGAAATTACGAAAAAGGCATAGGTAGGTTGAAGAGAGCATGGGTATAAGATAAGGTAATGGTAGGTAGTGGAAAAAACCATCATGAACAAGAAACACAGGTGAAAATATGTGAAGTACAAAAGAAAGCACAGGCTGCATGAACTACTCCACCATCCACTGCACAAAAGCTGTCACATCTTCCAAAAGACAAAGACAAACCTGATGTCAAAACGTGAGAATGATGATAGCGTGAACGTCTTGTTGTCACATCAGACAAAGTGGAAGTTACTGATGCTAATAATGTGAAAATAAAAGGCCACAAAACCTACAGGTGAAGATGTTGAAAAACGAAAATATAACAATAAATACTTCCACAACAGACAAAGTCTGTGTAAATATTTTCACTTAAAAAATGTCTAACTCTGAAAAGTTCACAAGTGAAAAAAGACATATCAATAATCACATGCCAAATCAACAAGTGATGAGTGTGATCTACATTATAAAGGGAGTCAGCTGCACTAGAAGGGTGTGTTGCACTCCTATTGGTGGAGGTTATCGCACGTTCATTGCATGCTACAATGCAGCTATATCACGTGGAACCATGTGAATTTAGGTGGGAGCCTCAAGGATAGTGGAAAGCAAAAATTGGGCTTATAGACAGCAGCACCAATTGGAGAAAGCCATTATGTGAGAAGAGGTAAAGTATCGTACTGGAAGTCAATAATAACAGCTTGACTTACACAATCAAGTGAGCTACTGTCATTGTGTGCAATTATGCACAATATTAAACTCCTAAATCATAATACTGAAAGTTACCCTGATTACAAACAGACCAAACAAAATATTATATTTCAATGCAAAGAAAGAATTACATAAAATATGGACATGACAGATTAACTAATAAGTTCTTTGATGCTCTCATTCTCAAGCACTTAGTACTTCCCAAAAACAAAACAAAAAACTGTAATGAAACATTTAAAAGCATTTCCCATAATACCTCAAATTAACAACATATTCTCAGCTTTGCAACTGTCCCATTAAGAAACTCTAAAAAAAAACTGGACTCGTGCTTGATATCTTTATCTTGAAGTTTTCTGCGATGTAATGAATAGTAGTTAGGTTTACAAAACATCAAATCTGAGAAAATATTATTAATAAAATACAATTTGTTTATACCCACAGCAATGATATGACTTATTTGAGACTTAATTGGTATTTCTAGTATAATCTAAAATCTGTAGATTTTTACACTACACATTTAACACTACCATAATCACCTTGGTTCAGGTAAGTCAATGTCTCCTCTGTTATCTTAACTCCTAAGGCAGTGGGAGCACCCAGTACACATTGAAAAAGTCTTTTCTCCCCAGATTCCTTCATAATTAGTCCTGGATTCATAAATGACATAAAATTGGTCACTGAAGGAGCACTCACAAATGTCAGATCTGGTTGACTCACTCCAGTAGCAGACCTTCCACTATCGATCACAGACACTTCAGGCAAGCTGAAACAATAAAATATAATGTGGACTAAACTGAAGAAAACTTAACATTTTCCTTACAAGAAAATGTATTTCAGATTGACTCTCACTTCTCCACAGAACAGATGCCTAGTGCCTCAGTGTTATCATTGGACAGTTTTTGTGTATGTTCCAAGCCACTGTAAGAGCTATCACCCCCACACATAATAATGTGAACTGTGCTAATCTCTGATGCAATCAGCAATAAACTAAAGACTCCACCAACAGGATAATGACACATCTCTTTGCACAGTCTCCACTTGAGCACTTTGTACAAACAAAAGCTCATTCTTGATGAAGCAAACAGACACACCAGAAGTGGGGAGGTACAGTTGGTGGTTCTAAAAAGGTATGTATCTGAAACACATTTTCAGACTATGATACTCAACCCTCCATAGAACAGACAACTAAAACCCCACATTGAGAAGATGATGGAGCTACTAGTGTGAAAACTGAAATTAAAAATACAAGTTCCTTTCTGAGACCAAGGTAAAAGAAAGGGGAAAATCTCATGAAGTGTATCTTCCACTCAGAGGGAGTACTTAGTGGGAGCAGCACTCTTTGAAAAATTGCATTCATCTCAAGTATGAAAAGCTCTTTGCCCAATACAAGTGGTTGTTGAGAAATATTCTGTCACAAAGAGTTTCAGCCTGTTGTTAAAGTGTCATAAAGACAGTGGGACAAAGACAGCTGCTCAACTGTCCTATGTATCCCAAGAGCAATACAGACCTTATCAGTTGCGTGTGGCTTGGGCAATACATCATGCCATACAGTATAAGAGAAATACTTATAAAAATACACAGGTTCAGGGATGAATCATCACAGACCCACATTCTAAGGAGAACTCAAGACCCATCCAGCTGGTCACAACTAAGAGGAATGGTCCAGTTCTTAGAGTAGGAGTGGCCTGTATCACTCTTCCAAGTTGGTACTCCTACTATACTTCTGTTCAAGAAGTGAGTTGACATCATCTCGTATCAGTGAGAATACACCGACCTAAAGGGGAACTCTCCATATCAACTTTCCCAGTGTCTTGGTATTGGGCAATCAAGGGTTATCCAGCTCCACTAGAAGAAATTGGGAGGGATGAATTTCAATAGGGGAGAATACTGGGGAGGTCATGAACCAAACAGAAATCATCTCATTTGCATAAGGTCTCTCACTGGGAGACTGTGTAATAGATTTACTATGAATAGGTACAGCAGGAGCTGTCTCACTGGGTTGATGTGTACACACACCTTTTTCTTTTCCTTTTTGTTGGTCAAGTACAGTTTGGAAGGTAAATATATAGATATATATATTGCTGAAGCAATTTGGCATAAAACCCCATCTGCACAGTGGACATGCAGAAAAAGAAAATGGGCTGAATACTTTCTGTTATCCCCTACTAGATACAGATTTTATAGAGAAGTATTCCATGTAAGCAACACCAACCATTTGGTGGGTTCCTATGTTGTTGTTTTTAATATGTATTTTGTATTTATTTATGTACTGTATTAAAGATTAGAGAATTGTGACTATAGGGAAACAAAAACACAGGCTGATGAAACGACAATGTGATGTAAGTGTGTGGGGTCATCCACATCTATTCATAAAATATTTCATTCAGGGGATGTTGATTGCCAGAGGCAAGAGAAGTGGAAGGAGATAAATCTTAAAAAACAGAAGAATCCCATGGAAGGAAAAAAACACTTTTGATTGCCTCTAAAGGAACTGTAAGAGGGTGGTAACATTGTACAGCCCATGCAGCACAAAGAGGATAATTATGATCACAACAATAGTACAGGAAGGAAGTTAAAGGCACGATTAGTAGAGAAAACATCAACCTGTCCTTGTGAAAAAGAATGCAGGAAGTTTCTAAGACAAAAATCAAAGCAACATCTTCTGCAAGCAAGAAGTCGAAGAAAATGTCCTGAAGACAAAGATGACAGATGGAACAGATGGCCAACAGTTCAAAATAAGGACTCATGAGACCCATAAGAACTGAAAATAACTACCAATTCAGAAGAGGAACCAGCAGAATAAGACTACTGATTCAAAAAACATGGAAGAGGTCTGTAAGAACTGGATAGACTGCTCTTTAAAATCCAGGTTAAAAAAAAGGGAAGTCAGAAGTGGGCAAGATGGACAATCTGGAGGAATAGAGTGGCAGATGGACCAGCATCAATAAATAATCCCACTTGGACTGATAGATTGCAAAGGTGGATGGTCAAGTGAAGTAAACAAGAAAATGGGGTATTCTGCAAGAAAAATATACCCAACTTGCAAGAAACTGGACAAAAGCCATGTGTGAAAATGAAGCCATGGAACATCCTGATAAAAGATAAGCATCCAAGGCTGATGTAAAAGGGGACCTCTAAGATGGAAGAAAGTCTTCTGGATCGCGTGTAGGTGAAACAGTGAAAACCATGACTGAGATGGACAATAGAGGGCAATGAAAACAACCTGGCAAAGAGTGCTGTGAATAAGAGAATACACTCTTGAAAGAAGTCTAAGAGGAGAATAAGCATAAAGAAAAAGGATGAATAAATCCTGTTAAGGAATGTCTGGAATTTGGAGGCATAAGAAACAAGCATATGGGAATTCTTATTCAATAAGGTTCATGAAATTGAATTAACTGAAATAATTATTTTCTTCTTCTCATGTCATTTTTTCTTATGTTTTTTGTTGTTCTCTGAGACTGATTATAAGTGTTTGCCTATACTCTATCCCAGGGTTAATCACAATGGGCAATAATCCTTACAAAGAAACCAGTACATGCTCTGGAACATTTCTTCCATATCTCACATTTGACTATGTAAGGAATAACATTCATATAAGAAAGATCATATTTCTGATTAAAAACTTTAACTGAAATTCATTTTCAATTTAAAGTTAGGCACAGTGTAAAATATCCTTTATTTGACAAAAGGTCTAAAAGAAATAGTGTAGTGCCACGGACAGTACTGCAGAAGGAGTATGTGTCAACTTTCTGTTGTTGGAGAAATATAGTCTAATGCTGATTGCATCATCGATTAGCACAGCTCATTTAAGGATGAAAGTTCTTACAATGGCTTAGTACATGTGCTAGTCATCCCTAATTTAGCAGTGTAAGACTAGAGGGAAGGCAGCTAGTCATCACCACCCACCACCAACTCTTAGGCTACTCTTTTACCAACAAATAATGGGATTAACCATCACATTATAACATCCCCACAGCTTAAAAAGCAAGCATGTTTGGTGGGACAGATATTCAAACCTGTGACCCTCAGATTGCAAGTGAAGAGCCCTAACCACCTGGCCATGCTGGGCCAAAACTTTTTGGCAGTAGTACCAAGGCACTAGCTATCTGTTCTGTGGAGAGGTGATCAGCACAGTCTGATATTAATGGTGTAATAGATACTCTTCAAACAAGTCGGTATAAAACAAGAGGACTGAGATGTAAAAACAATGTAACACTATATTAGATATTCTTCAAACAAGTTCATACAATTAAATAATGAGGACAAAGATGTAGAAAATTTAAGAAGTTCATACATCAAAGTAAAACAAATTAACTGTAAATATTTCAATCCTTTAACCTAAACATTTTAGAAAAGCTGAAAAATGAAAGACAGAGGTGCTATGGATTTAATGATACTAGAGACAAAATACTAACTACTGAAAACAAATCAATAATTAAATCAGTAATTCTGTTCTTAAGAATTCATATTTCAAGACAGTTTTAATGAAGTACACTGTATTAAATTACCTATCATTTCATACAAGTTTTTAGAAAGTTTTTAAATAAGCTTGAAGCCTTGCAGTAATCAATGTGATGAGGAGATAAATATATACAGCTTTATCTTTTGTTTAAATCTAAACTTATGAATTAAAATTAACATTTTTTGGGAAATACTTATTTTAAGAAAGTTAAAATTTTCCTAATCTGAAAATGTATTTCTGAATGGATAGTTTCTTGATCAGTACTGCCCTCTGAAAAAGGACCAAATGTGTTGGTGAGTCTGGAGGCCCATAGCACTGGAGACAGTGCAATGGGTGACCACAATACCCTATTTTTGAAAGCAGAGCTACCACATGAACAGAGCCAATTCACCAACACTTGGTGGCATCTGAAATTGTACATCAGGTCCTCGGTAGGAAGAGACTCAATGCCATGGAGCATCAGAGATGGGCAGTAAGCCCTGTCTGCTTTACCCGTGAAGTCCATGAGTGCATGGTCCAGGATGAACATATTTACGAAACAAAAGGCCACATAATATGTTCTTATGACATGTTATATTGTTTCAAGAATAATATGTGATATTAATGCATTGATGACAATCAGACAGGATCAAACAACCAACCCCTGGCAGCACCTGGAATTGTACATCAAGTCTGAATTAGGAAGTACCTCAACATTATAGTCAGCTGGCATGGTCACAGAATGTACAATGCAGATTCGATACTAAGTACACCTAGTCAGGCACCACTCGCCACAGAGCATGATCCAAAACATATGTAGCAAAAGGCCCCTGTAAATAAAAGAAAAACAAATGTAGTAGCCCATATATTTAACCCGATGATATTCTCTCAGGGAAGAAAGAAAAAGAGCAGCAAGGGACATGGTAAGGTGACAGATCTGATGGGAAGAAACACAAAAAATATGACAAACATCCAGAGAAAAGGAATAATATGCCAGGTAAAGTGACTGGTGAATCCAGCCTGTAAGGGAATATGGGGAAAAAATCAGAGGAATGGATTGAATGGAACCTACTGAAGAAAACTTAGAAACATGTCTTAGAAAACCAAGGGCCCTGGCTGGGCAAAGGAATTAGACAGGAGCAGAATAGACCTAAAGATGGAAGAAGAAGGGAATGGAAAGAGAGATAAAACATTTAATTTCCAGATCAACCAAAATTGGGTACATAAAAGCAAAAACAGGAACAAAGGAACAAACATAGTAAAAACTGATAACAAAACACGTTGGAAAAACAGTGACCACAGGTCAACAGTATGAGGAACAGCAAATAAAAGGATATAACTAATCTTTCAAGAAAGGTTCAAATGGAGGACTACTCGGGGACACTCCAAAGCACCCACTACATCCAAAAAGCTAGAAGATCCAAAGACTACCCTGTCGGGATGGGATAATCAATCTGCAACCAGATTCATGGCCTCCTCCCAATGACATACCCACAAATCAATATAATGACAGTGGGCCTAATATACAGGAGATACAAAGTTATAAAATAAAGGACACTCGGCCAGATGGCCCATGCATGGTGATGTAGGATCCTGCCACAGAACTGTTAGAGTGAAACATCACCATCTTGTCCCAAAGAGCCAGTAGGAAGGAAAGTACTGTCCAACGAACAGCAGGAAGTGTCAAGAGAGTGATATGGAGAGCAGAGTCAAAAAGTGACAATCCAGATGAGGAGAAGGAAGAGAAACTCTGGCAGCAATAGTGGTTCTATCCAATCAACAGTCAATACAGACTGTTAGGGAGGGGAAAGGGTAAGAGGAGCATCCAAGGGATCCTGAACAATACAGCATTTAGTGATCCAAAAACCCAAAGAGGATGGCACATGTTGGTGCGACTAAGAGGAACGAGGGATGTGAGAGAAGCCCATATCCCTAAATGTGAGGGAACTTCACAGACAATAAAGAAAAGAAGAAGAGAAGCCACCTAAAGAATGTATCAGAGTTCTAAACCAAAGAGGAGAAGAACACACACCTGTGATGAACAAAATGAAGAAAAATGTTTGGATGCCAGGGAAAAGGGAACATGGAGATGTATCTGACACATCAATGTACATCATCCACAAAACAGGAGTGAAAACCACAAATGAGAATGATCTACTCACAAAAGAGACCCTGGAGAAGTAGGACCTGGGCCACCTCTGACTGATGCTGGGATGAAACAGTCTCACTGAGAGTGAAATAAAGTGGATGGTGATATAACAAGTGGGAGAAGTGGAAAGGGAGTTATGGAGACTTACTGAAACAATCCTGGTCTCCAAATAGGCAGGAAGACCCAAAAAACATTGTGATGGAAAAGAAGCACAATGCACATAATGAAGGGTAAAAAACTTAGAAGAATCCAACTTTATAGTAGCCAAATCTGAAAAGTGAGGCTGAAGAGGAAATACATGCCATTGTAGTACAAAGGAGACAACTATGACCAACTGTAAAACATAAATGACACTATAGAACTACCCCAACCAAAAGGACAAGGGAGGATAAAGCACAGACAATAATGAATAACATAATAAATGAATGGAAATGTTCCGAGGTAGGGAAATGCAACCAATGCATCATGGTCTGAACCCCATATTGGAAGAAAAATCAAAAATCCAAAAGGTTTGTGGCAAATTATGGGTAGCTGGAAAAACATGCTAGGCCAACATACACAAAGACAATCCAGAGATTAATTCTCAAAGAGGACATGGATAAAATCCAAGAAAATAGGACACAAAGATAAAACATAAAATACCTGAGCAAACAATGGTTACAAAGGGCAAAGGATGCCTAGATAAGACCCCTTGAAACAACATGTGATGGAAAAGCATATTCAGGAGGGTAAAAACAAACTGCCCTAAGTCCTATCCACCCATTCATACACACCTAGGCATTTGGATGACAGGCTACTCAACAGATTATACAGAATGTTGCTAAAAATGGTACAATTCCCAATGGAACATAGCTGTCACACCCACGGCCGACAACCGTGATATCACCCCCATAAATGTGAATGGGAAATCTGCCACAGCAGGAAAAACAGTGATAGTCACGAAACTGTTAGTGTATAACTCAAAATGTCAAAAACAAAAATTTAAAAGGGAGAGTAGATAATGAAACTTAAATTGCGACTCACCACTAAAAAAAAGAAAGGAGGAAAATTGACTATAACTAAGTAAAAAATAAAAGTGTGTGGAATTAATATATTAAATTGTGAGCTAAAACAAGCATGTCTGTACAGCAAAACTGCCAATCAAAAAGTGATTAACAAGTCCATTATTAGAGAGAGCATTGTTATGACAGGAGTAGTGTCACACTCCTATTGGTAGAGGGTTGCTGCATGATCATTTGCATGTAGATATGCAGAATGAAGTGGGGGTTACAAGGTTATTGGTGAGTAAAAATATTTGCACCAATAGAGAGCAGTACCAATCAAAAAATCTTTTTGTGAGAAGGGGTAAGATATCATATCAGAAACTTACTTTTCATTCATTTGGAAATCAGTGTCTGTACTCCTGCTAGTATTCACACAAAACTTTTTTAATGCTTTAGAAAAGTCTGTAAGTGCAGTCTGGTGCTTAACCTCATTCCTGGACAATTTTTTTGTTCCTGGAACATCTTTGTCTTCAGATACAGGATTTTTTATAGGCTCTTTGTGACTGATAAAGATAAAATTCTTCACAGATTTTATGAAAACAAGTAGTATACGAACAACATAGAACATAAGATCTATTGGGTTTTTCTTCACAGACTCAAAACCTCATAGATATTATATACACTTTACCATTATAAGAGGCTGATGGCATTTCTTTGTTTGTTGACCCAAGCCATGCTGATGAGCCTTGAATAGGCAAAACTGCAGTAAACAGCAGAGGGTACAGCAAATCAAAGAATGCATTAGGCCTCTACATCACAGATTCTCTTTTCAATTTCACCTTTGGTGAAAAAGAAAAGTAATTTTTAACATATATACTATAAAAGATAAGCATTAGAATATTTTCAATTTTCAACAAGAGAGCACATGAATTTGGTGGAAGTTACAAAAAGTGTAACTTGTTTTTAACTTCAACTCATTTTTATTTTATTACAAGCTAATAATTAATTTTAGAACCAATTAAAATACAAGACCTGCAACTTATCTTCAAATTTCCCTAGATTTTCCAATGTAAGTACAAAGAAACCTTTAAATGAAGCTGTAACATAAGTAAAAAACACGTTTAGTGCTACATTGTGTACAGCACCAAAACCTTTCACAAGTGATACACATTAATTTAATTGTAGTTTTACAGAAAACAAGTTTAGTTTTTGTATAGATCTTAATGTTAATAGATTTTAGTGTGACTGAAAATCCATCATATTGACCAATGAAATTAAGGCAAAACACTGCCTCAAGTGCTTAAATCTTACTTTTGGATTTGTTTTTTGTCACTAGTGATATATTTTTATGCAAAAATAGTTGAAAACAAACGTAATTCAAATTACAAACCACTTATAGCTGATAAAATGTAAGATTTTGACAGCATATATATATGAAGGGCTTACTACTTATGTCACAAATTATACCTAGCCTACCTGTGTTCAGTGATCTGGAGATCTTCGGTTTTTATACACTGCAATGCTGAAATGGCTTCACTGTTGAAAATAATAAAGACAAAAATTCTTTTAAGACTACCATTATTTGATCCTTGACTTTGACTAATAATGCATTACTCAAATCATCCTGTATGTAACCGAAATACCACTGGTTAAAAATAATTTTCCAAGGCATTTCAGCCATTTTTCATAACACTTTATAGCCTTGCATCACCCTTCATATCTACCTCATCCTCACACCTCTTGTTTGTTTTTAATCGAATTAATTAACCACATTTTAATTCAGTTAACTACTATTCAATCAGATAACGTATTTCGTATCGTCACAGTTGTCCTAGACTTTTCTAGAACATTTATGTTTTTCTCCATTTAACATAACTTTTCCAGGACTGGAAATTGATTATAAAATTTTTGATGTTTTCCAGTATGTGTAGAACCCTGAAAATAAAATCATTTCACTGGATTAACTACCATGTCATTAATATATCCCTTGTTTCAAACTATCATCCCACAAAGTTTGGTTGAGATTGCCCCAGCAACCTAGGAGTCTTTACATAACAGACAAACAGACAGACACAGATTTTTGTGCTTTATATGTATAGATGTATGTATTTTCCAGCTGAAAATTGTTAAAATAATTACAATATTTATTTTTATCATACTGTGTCAATGTGACAAGAAACTCACTATACCACCTCTCATAGAGGAAACTTTCCATCTCAACATCCCTAGCAGCTCGGGACTGGGAAAATAAAGGATCTCCCATGCTCTACAAGATGAACAGGGGAATACATGTAGAGGATAATACCGAGAGATAATGCAAGGAGTTACTAAGACTAAAGACAGCAAGCTCGGGCCAGGTGTAAGGGCAAGACTACAGCTGGTGCTGCTATATATTTTTGTTGTAAAAGGTGCAGAAACCACAGTTGTCTTGCAGAAAACCCCATCTCAACAGTGGGCACTCATCAGGTATGGATGGGTTTAAAACTTTCTGTTCTCACCCACTTGATGTGAATTTCAGGTATGTATTCCCTGTGAGCTACCACAGGCCACTCAGTGGGACCCAATGACACCAGACATAAAGAATATAGTGGCTAGTTACTCATGTTATGTTTGATCTGGTGTTATTGCCTCCTCTTGTCTTTTTTTAATATATTTTATTTATTTTTTGATTTGTTGAAATAGCCACAAAAATAATGGAGAGAGGTTAGCCCAACCTGACACCAGAGGATGGGTAGCAGACAGAGGTACCTGTGAGCTATTGAGTTGGGAAAACAAGGGAACAATGGAAGATTCCTGATGAGCAGCCTCAGCCCAGGATACCAAGGAGTCTGAAACACTCCCAGAGACCTGGTCTGTAAGAAAAGGAGTGAGATGAAGGAGACGGATAAAAGGGGAATAGATGTGGACACCTGCAAGAAAAGACCACCAGCTGAAGAGATCCCAAAAATATAGAAACCAAATCAAAATAGACAGTAGAGAAACAAATAGTGGCAAACAAAGAAGAATAAGTATCCCCACCAAAACTATCAGGGTCATGTTGAAGAGCTTCAATGAGAAGGTGAAGGACAGAGATATGGAAAAGGAATAGGGTAAAGACAGACAAAAAGAAGAATCTCAAGCACATAGAAAATACACAAGACTGTGGTTCAACAAATCTAAAAAGACCATAATCTGAGGCTATAGCAAAGGAGTCACAAAAATAAGTTGACCAAGCAAGATGCGGAACAACAAGAGCTAGCCAAAATTATCCACAGGCAAGGCAGGCCTCACTTAAGGCAATGAAACAGAACAACGAGAGACCTGAATTAGAAAATAAATAAACAAAAGAGAACCAACTATCTGAAGCATGATAGTGGGAACCTCATCAGTTAACTTTTTATTATTTTATAGTTCATCACAGCTCTATAAGGCTGAGGCATCTAAGTACATCAAAAGTACCTTGCCATGGAGTGAAATCTAAGACTTGACACATACAGGTGTGTGCTTTACTAAGTGAGCTAAAGGGATAACAACTGAATGTCAGTTCCATGAACAGATAAAGTGCCTCTAGTTGGAGTAAATGCTTGAAAAAGAATGTCTGAGTCTCAGGACAGTTTTCTGTTTATATTTTTAGAAATGTTGTTGAAGGTAGTAGAAATGTGTTGGCTAGAGAAAACAAAGTTGCAATCACATGGATGGAATGAAAGTGCAACAAGAATCAAAACAATGTACCATCATAGAAGCAAAGGTAGTTGATTAAGGCAACTACAAATTCAAATAGCACAGAAAAACCCATGTCTGAACACAGACAGTACTGAGGAAAGCACGAGCCTATAATCATGTGCTGGTGCTCATTGGAATTACTGTGCATGGAAGTTGTGTTACCCTCCCATTGGAAGAGGGCTGCAGCATTATGATGATTACATGAAAAGCTGGCACAATACCTTTAAACACATGTTTGAAAGGGGGTTTGTTCAAGGCTTGTGGCACGTGCGGAAAATTCCACAGCAGTTGTATAGAGGTAATAGCTCTTAGTGGTTCAGAAAGGTGAGTTGTGTTTCTTAATCTAATGTTTGTATATTTTTCACACTTTAATGTTGATTAGTTCATATAAGCAGCTATATCTAGTGATATATATCTTGAGAAGTTTGTGAGTCATATGTATCCTTGCAATATCACAACAACTGAACACAGTACACAGGAAGAGGCATTACACCAGGGCATCTGAAACTGTTTGTAGTTAACACAAGAAAAAACACAGTTTTATTCCATATAAGAATGAAGTTTATAAAATACTCATATTTAATAGCATGCCTGCGTATGATAAGATACACCATTAAACTTACGAATACAAATATGTGAATCAATCAAGAAATTATTGATATACAGGGTTAACTGCACAGTAAGGCATTTAATATCATTCAAAGCTGATAATTACTAGACATATAACACTTTAGAAAATGCTTTAATTTGAAAATCTTATTATTCTGTTTCTTATCAGGCTGGGTGACAATGTTTTCATAGTCGTTTTTCTTCCATTTGGTTAGTTTTTTTACACTCCTCTTGAGCATGGAATACCAGTGATGCTTGGGTAATCTTAGTATACAACTACATGAAAAGCTACTGTGAAAGTTATAATACTATTTTTATCATTGTGGTGAATTGCTTGGTAAGTATCAAATTCATGAAATGTAATAAATATTGATAAGAAGCAAAGTAATGCTCACAATGTATAATGAAACAAATGTAACAAGTTCGTAAAATGTAACAAAGAAACACAGTAATGCTCACAATATAGAATGAAAAAAAAATTTATAGCGACTGACAATTAGAATTAGAGCTAGGTGATTAGTGGAATTTGCTAATTGATTTACTGTCAGGCTCAATCAAAAATATTCTCACAAAAAAAATGGTTTAAGAAAACTTTTAAAAGCATTAAAATAATTTAGCATAATTTTTTTAAAAAAAAGATAAGCTGAACATTTACTGTTTGGGAAGTTGCTAATGTCGAGATATTAATTTCATTTTGTTTGTTTTCAGAATATGCAGCAATCCCACATTAATCTGTATAAGTTAAATAATGAAAATATATTTTACTGTCACTGATAATGGTACTAACGTTTCTACTTAAAGCATATCATGACTGCAATTATTAATCATTAAGTATCTAGTTAGCCAGTTTATTGATGTAGGTTGTTTGAATATCATAAACATATAAACAGTATTCAATAAACAAGGATTTGAGTCATCTATCATACTCATTAACTAAAGTTTACCTGATGCCTTCTCCTCTAAGGAAATATGTGTAGCTTTCAAACAGATATAATTCAACACACAGACACTAGCAGTTTTCTCATGAAACCATAATATACTACTCAAATCATATTTAAACATTCTTTATCAAAGTTGTTTTTCATTAATAAATTATCAAGCAACTTGATATGACATCATAAAAGGGTTGTAATAGAAACATACAAGGGAAACACTTTAAAATCAAGAAAGAGATAATATGCTCTCAAGGGGTGATTGTTTAATGGCAAAAATAGCTATTCTTTTCAATTGGCAGAAAAATGCTAACAAAAAACAATTGACAAGTTTACAAGTCAAACTCCTCAGGTGATAATTTATTTCTATTCTTTCTACAGACATCAGTATTGTTGGTAAAATCTAATGTATTTTTGAATGTGTTTTGAAAAATACTTTTCTTCTCACCAAAAGAAATACAGGCCTATGATTAAAATAGTTGTGTTGTTTTTTTTCTTTTTTCAAGGTATTGGAGTTTATTAATATAGTATAAAAAGTTGTTTGAAAATGTCTTTAAATACCTTCAGAAGAGCAATATGTTGTTTAAATGATGAGGTATTTCACATCTTTGTTTATAAATGGAAAGAAAACTTAAATATAACAGCAACTATGAGATTACTAGTAGTTACAGGTTACCATAAATTACACACACTTAGTCTTTGAGATTGAGGTTATGAATTTATATGAACACAACTATATTAAACCAATAAATCACATTTAGTAAGTTAGGCCAGGCTCAGATGTTCCAGCTTTGGCTGCTTCGTTAGTCTCCTCACTCATGAAGAAGTCCTGTGTATTTTGCAAGAACTCAGCACCTTCATAGCTGAAAAACTTGAAGGGACCATCTCAGCAATCAAACAGGGAAGGCTTCTCAGGATTGAAAACTTAAAACTTTATTTACCTGAAAATGTACTTCCGATAGATACTTACCTTTCACACAGAAATTATCTTCCCTGTGCATCTGCCTTAGAGATTTGTATGCCGCTATCCTTTAGGCAACTCCCACCTAAACTCATGAGGTTTCTTGTGATATGCACTACTGCATAATGACATTGTTATGCAGCAAAAGCCCTCCACCAATAGGAGGGTGACACAACCTCCCAGCACACTAACTACCTCTATGCTTTTGCACTCATGATCTTCATTCTATGACAAGGCAAGGAATACAAAGTTGCACCAGAAATGAGGAGGAAGGGTGGAAGGTGTGTTAAGAGGTGAGTATCTATCAGAAATACATTTTCAGAGAAGGACAA